AGAAGAACCATTCAGGGAACTTTTTTCCTTCTGCCATTATTTCTGCTATGTACACTTTTAAACCATCATGGTGAGAGGGTATTGACTATCTTTAGGGCTTCGCCTGCCCCCTTCCCACCCCCCACCCCTTGCCCAGTATTTTTTAGGAGCATTCAGTATCTAACTTGGATGGTTTAAAATCACTCAGTGGGTTTGAATGGCTTGAGTAAGGGAGTGTGTAATCCATAGTGCCATATTGTGGAGTGATTGGTACCAGTGTGCGCTCCCTGAGAGCTGGAGATGTGGGGAATCTCTGGCTTCATGTCAGTGGGATTGACTTTTCGGTTTCTTCTTCCTATTTTTTGAAGTGAAGTTTGGAGGTTTTTTCTCAAGCAACTGGAAGTTAACAGAAAAAATAATAAACATCTATGCTCATGACTCTTCAAACTTCCTGAAAACCAAGAAACTTTGACAAAAATTTAAAGGGTTTTAAATGTTGAAGCAACCCCAAGGAAGGTTAGAAAGCTGCATGAAAATGCATCTGAAACAGGCAAAAGGTGGGTGGCAGTGCCCTGCACCTTGTGGCATCACACCTATTTCAGCATCCAGGGTTAATGTGGCTCCTCTCTGCCAGGTCCTTCCTGGGTGTCAGAGCAGAAGATTTGTGGATATTACAGTTACAGATTGGAATTCACTTGAGACAGAATGTGAACAAGATTTACAAGTGATATGCAATATTTTACACATCTGAGTGCAGTGTCTCTGAACCACAACAGAGTACATGACCGGGGAATGCATTTGAATGGGAATGGGATAAATAAATATGAAAAATCTTGTATTTGTAGAGTCCAGTGTCTTGGGTAATCAGTAGTGATGGAGGGGAAAGGAAACACTATACAAGAAAAAAAAATATATATATATCCATTTTTTAAGACAGCTTTTAAAAAAATAGTTTACAGATTACCAAGCTGTTATCAATGTAAAATGCAAGGTGGTGTATTTTTTAAATCTTGAAAAGTTAAAACATATTCTGAGATCATTTAATCAGTCCTTTGGTTGAAGGATAAATGCAATACATGAAAGAAGTTCATGAGGAACAGAGAACTTTTTATTTGAAAAAGGGAGAAAAAAGGTGATACAAACTTCTAGAGAAATCAATTTATCAGCTGCCTCTATTTGAACTTATCAATTATGAGAAATTATAAGCATAACTTTCTGATTTTTTTTTATTTGGAGAATTACTTTATAATGAAATTCTTAAGGTAGAGGTGATGAACACCCTGCCCTTATCTGGCTGCTTTGATGCTTTGATGATTCTGTGGGGTTAGATGAGGACTCCCTCTAGTTTCATCACTTCTCTTTCTTCCTCTTCACAAGAAAATGGTGAGATACCCCATCCCTGAGCACCCACATCCATTCCAGAGACACCCCATCCCAGGAAGTGTTCAAGGCCAGGTTGGATGGGGCTTGGAGCAACCTGGTCTGGTGAAAGGTGCCCCTGCCTGTGGCAGGGGCGGTTGGACCATATGAGTTTACAGCTTTCAACCTTTCTATGATTCCATGATAATTCACCTTCCATGGAAATGAGGAAAACCATGTCTCAGAACTTACTTTTTTGCCTTTTTACTCATTGCTTGTTCTTCTCCATGGGATGATATATTTAAACGTCTTTTCATTTCACTGTGGGGCATTACTGGAATCGAGTAGGGCAGTAACAGCTCCCTGGGGGTGTGTAGCACTTGCTGAGCATCCCAGACAGCCCTGAAATACTCAGTCTTAAAACTGGATAGATTTGGGGAGAGTAGAATTATGTTGCATCAGTTTTGTAGATGTTTTTGTTCTGCTCTGACTGCTTTCAGGCTTGTGGTGACTTGGAGAACTGGCTTAACAAGCGAAAACCATCTGAACTAAGTCAAAATATGTGGAAATATTTCCTCTGCTTTTCCCCATTGTGAATTATTCCTATTCCCTTAACCCTCCACATCCCAGCAAACTGGAGCAGCAGCTCAGCAGCTGTCAATGCTCACTCACACCCTGTTAGTATAGGGCAGTAGCCTGTGAGGAGCTGAGCAGCTCCTCAGAGCTCCCAAAGGCAGTGCAGCATGGAGGGAGATATGGGACACATCCCAAATACATCTCGCAGCTTCCAACTGCAACACAGCACTCCTGACTGCAAGATGTGAAGTTAGAGGCTATTAAGGAATCAAAGATTCATCATTTCTTAATGCTCCAGGTCTTGGGTTTTTACAGCACTTCTAAATACACTCTTATGAAATACACAAAGAAAGGCTTGTGCATAAGAATACATCCATAGATATAAAATGCAACAGTGAAATCCTAATGTGCTAACGATATCCACAGAGAAACACTAGAAGAAACCATGAGCTGCAATAAGCACACAGAAAGTCACTAATTTGTTAGAGAATTCAGTCTGCTTTTTGTAGCAACAAAAGGTTCAGAATTAAACATTTAATGCCATAATCACTTTTTCCTTCCCACACCTAAACACTTTTAATTCTTAATAAAGTTGTAGTTATGTATGAACTTACTGTGTGTTCAAGTTCTAATACAGGGTTGATAATTCCCTTCTATGCCTGACATGGTGATATGGTGCTAACCTAAATCGTCTTTGATAACTTCCTTTAAGCATCAGAAGTCTAAAAAGAGATTTTAAAAGTCAAAAACTGTGCTTTTACCAATATAAGCCCCTCTTTTCAAGAAAAACACATTTGGGAAGGAAGTTAATAATACAGTAGTGCTGCACCTATTTGGTTGTGCAAGGGGTTTTTGCTTATATTAATACATTTGTATGCATTGGGAAAAAACAGATCATCCTTAAAAAGACAATTACAGAGTACAAACCAAGCATTCAGAATATTTTTCTGTGATATTTTAAAGGAAATAACATACTAAAATAGAGAAGATTATATTGCCCTGTTTTTCCACAACTCCTTATAAATCATTCCATTAAAGTAGCCATCCTGCTTTTATTGATCTAAACTCAATTTTAGTTTGTTTTAACTTAAAATACCTGTTATTAAGTCCCCTCCAGTGCAAGAATTTTCTGTATCTCATGCAAATATCATTTGACCAGGGTTGGTGTCTTTTCTACTATCAGTTATTCATGCGTCTTTGCTTTCCATCAGGAAAGATCTAAAAAACAGGTGAATGCTTGAAATGAAGATTTTTTTAGTAGATATTTCTAATAATATATTGGATAACTTAACCAGCTTATTCCATAGTGTAGATGCCTGACATCAAGGTGACAATAATATCTGAGATGCTTTTAATTATAGATAATGGATTTCAGATCATCTATGGATTTACTATGATTCTTTACAGTTATTCATACATCTGCCCATTGGAGTAGCACAGCCAGCAGAACCAAGTTATGATTGTGGATATATCTACGCCCTCTCAGGTGAAGGTCTGTGCTTTGGCAAGGGTTGAGTCCTGCCAGTAAACTTATTTCTCAGTGCTTGTTTTCAATCTGCCTTAAAACACGTCTAAAAACTAGGCAAGTTCTCAAAATTCTCTCCCTTCTGCCAGTGCTGACCTGCCACTGAGAGGTGAGGAATGAAGATGCTTCTTAGTGCCAAACACAAGATTTTGGGGAAGATGCGTGAGCAGACAGAAGTAGTGCCAGATCAATCCATAATGCAAGAGATGGGCTGTTTTGTACGTCTCTTGAAGAGTGCCAGCTGGCATTGCATGTCTGCTGCAGAATCGCAGCTTCCTTCAAAAAATGTTCAAAGTGTGGTGTCTGGAAAGGAAGGTTCAAACTGCAAAGCACATGCACCCTGAAGAGGCAGGAAATGTGAGCTGTAAGGAGCCCCAAAAGGTTTGGGTTTAGAAATCAGCCCATCTGCTGATCAAACAACTCCTGCTTGTAATCTCTGAGTGCTTGGCAGGGGTTGGCAGCAGCAGGTGGAAGTGGATGCTTCCTTATAGTGCTGGAGCTGCTATAGGTGTAGCAGGGAAGGAACAGAAAGGACCCAAGTTCTTGACTCTGAGCCAGCAGATCAAAGTGATGTTCCTGTTTAATCTGTCCCCCCTGGTGGGTTCTGCCATGGCACCGCACACACTGCTGCACATTCCAGACATGAGGATGGCAACAGGCAGGACCTTCTGGAAGGGCTTCCCTTGCACATCCTGGGCTGCAGGCTGGCTTGTAGCTGCACATTGGTGCTTTGAAAACAAGTCCTTGTGTTTTCATAAGGAGGACCACTCTCCAATATTCACCCAGTTTTTGCCAACTCAAAGTTGAAATTTCCCTTAATACTGCAGTGAAATTACTCAAAGAATTCCATCTAGCATACTTCACACATGGAGATGATTACAGAAAAATCATTCTGTCAGCTCGTGAACTGTTTTAAAATGTATCCTCCTTGGTTTGCATAGAAACACGAACACTGAAGCTGCGGAAAAACTGAAGATTGGTGGAGTAACAAAGGAAGCCGTTTGATTTAGCCATCAGTGCTGTGGTTCTCTTAGCGGTAAATAAATATAGAAATTAGCAAATAAGGAATTGAAATAAATTCTTAAGCAGAGTACAACATATTCAAGTGCCAAAAATTTGTCTACTAAATCAATCCTTCCCATTGTAATCAAAAATTGAAACAATGCAAGAGCAGATCTAGGAAGATGAAGGGGATGAAGAAAGATCCTTGTTAAGCAGTTACAGAACAGGTATGCATCTGTGGTTAAAAGGTAGATATTAAATTCCCCCATAAATTAAACAGCTGGAAATGGCAATCTCTTTATGTGCAAAGAGCACCTTGTTAGCAACAAGCACAAAATTTCATATTATCAGATGAGTCACTATACCTTACTCCTAAATCGCTGCTCATTTTCTCCCTGCATGTTGTTTTATGAACTTTATACCTACTCTTCAAAATTCTGTCTGTCCCCCCAGGCTGCATTACTATCAAAACCTCTGAACGGGTAGTCTCCATTCAATTAGTGTTTATAATATTGTTACTAAATAATAAGGCACCTTTCCTGTCTTTTGTTCCATTCAGGACTTTGGAGAAGATGATTCCCTCTACATCACCAAGGTAACAACTATTCACATGGGCAATTACACCTGTCATGCCTACGGCTATGAAGAGCTGTATCAGACCCACATCCTTCAGGTGAATGGTTAGTAAATTGCATATATGGCATTCCATGAAAACGTTCCCTAAGAAAAGTTTTGTGTTAACCTCATTCACACAGAGATGTGTAAAGCCACAGCCCAAATTATCTGTGCATGAGAGCAAACGCAGCTTGGGGTTTGCTCGCTCACGCTGTCACACAAGCAGTCAAAAATAAAAGCATCAAAGGGCCTATATGTATAATTACCTGGGCTTCAGGAGGTATCTTCACTGTAAAACAAGCTGTCAGTGACATTTCGATTGAGTTAAGAGCAGTGTTTCCAAGCATCCCTTAAAGTAATTACTACATTTGTCAACAGAACTGTTGTGTCAATAATTTCTTCTTCCAGAAAATCATTCCTGTTGCATGAAACATCCCAGGATATTTAAATAAATACAGCAGTGTTTCCAAAACCAGGTAACTCCCAGCTATATATTCAGGTTATCACCTTTTTGTGCTGAGCTTGGTTTGCTGAGGGCTATTTACACTGGCTCACTGGATTGCAAAATGAGGGCAAACTGTTTTACAGGTAAGAGAATCACACAGTCTATATTCCAGCATTCTTGTTTACCTCTGTCCCCTGGACTACATTTGTTCCTGGTGGAATTTGCATTCAGGCACTCACTGTGTATCTCCTGACTTCAAACTAACTCAGTCTGATTTACTTTAAAATTACATTAGATTAAGCCAGCATCTAATCAAGGGACCAGCCCATAGAGTATCCACCTCCATAGCAGCAACCATCATTTTTCAAGTTAGACCCACTTTTACATGTGCTGATGGTGCCCAGCAGTGTCTCCAGAACAGGGGACAGGGTTACCCATTACTAACTATGGGTACAATCTAGTATGAAATTGGATGTACACTATGGGATGTACACTGGTATGAAAGTATTTATTTTTTTAGGAAAATTCAGTAACTTTATTACTGGGTATATATATTATAAGGAAAACTAATATTTAGTCCTTTCTCTAGGTGTGTGTTGACCTGCACAAAGGAGAGCTTTCCGCTATAAGGAGCAGTTAGTTACACAGAGGTCAGTAGCAAGAGGAGAAACAGTAAAGAGGGATACTTACGCATTTTAAGAAGAGCTGTTGTGGACGTGAGATTTTGTTTTGACTGCAGCTCAGGTCTGCTGGACGTGTATAAGTGCTCCCTCCACCACACAAGTACCTGGAGGAGAGCACAAAGTATCTGGTTGATCTGAATGAAAACTGACTAAATGTATCTACATAAAAATTTGTCATCTTTTGAGAAAGTAAACTGTAAATCCCTGCAATATGGGTAACTAAGTCGTGTATGCTGCAGCTGAGAAAACAGGTTTAGTTCCTCAAAGTCCTATTCATTTGATGAATGGCAGTTGAAAGAAAAGCCAGCTAACAACTTAATCCCATGTCTGTTATGTGATGTATTACTAGGCCTGAATGGAGTTTAATTGGCAGACAACAATGTAGACTTTATAAGCACTGAGAATAGAAGACTCAAAGGCTTTGAAACTTAAACCAGAATGAGAGGAAACCTGAATGGAGTATGGGGAGAGGGTGATTTGTTCCATACTCATGCTTGCCACTAAGATTGTTATTGAAAGATCACATTTTCTTTTAAAGTGCTGTATGGGGGCTTTCTTACCAAAAGAAAAATGCTGTTACACAAAAATCACTATCTATGTGGGCTTTTTAATGTGCTATATAGTTACTAAATGCAGAATAAAATGCCCTGCATTCTGGTATCAACTCAGGCTTACTAGAAAACATTGCAGGGTCTAGAAATCTTTGTCTCGCAGCATCTGGCATTCCCATGTGGGCCATTAGGCTTTGCAAAGCTGGGTTTTTGCAATTCTTGATATGGCTGCCCACCTCACTACGTTCCCTCCTTTTCTGCCTGTGTCACAGTTTCCTCCAGCAACTGATGCAGGGGTGACAGCCCTGATGGCTGGACAACGTTGTTTGCCTTCAAATGCATTGGAGGATTCCCAAGGCAGAGCCCTTCACAGGGAAACCTCGGGTTTTAGTAACTTAAAGGACACATTGAGGAATTTTTCTTGACAGGAGTAGAGGGAAGAAACTGAGCCAAACTGAATTGAGTGAAGATGCTGAGAATCTAAATGTAGCTGATGGGCTCTGTTCTGTGCTGGGGCTTGTCTCTGTCTGTCTGTATCAAACTGAAAAACATCTTCAGCATGGAAGGGTTTTTGTTGCTTTCCGGTGTTGGACTGAAATGGTAAGAGAATGTGACAGAACCAAATCAGCCAGAACTCTGGTATATCTGCTCCCCTGTCTCCCCTAGGGAAGTGCTGATCTACTTTCAACATCAAAAACATGGGGGCTTTTTATTTTAAGAAAGTTATCAGAATTTTTCCTTTCATACCTCCCAAGTTTGTCTGGGAGAGAGTTGGGAGAGAACAGAGAAAGAAGAACCAGCTGGAAGTAAAAGGGTTTATCCCCTACCCTTCCCAAGCCCACTGTGTCCGTACAGGCAGGTTCTAATTTTTAGACTGTTTTTCAGTTAATTCAGTGTTTTCAAAGTTGCAGTACCTCTTCCAGCATCCTTGGGTCCTTTTCTGTACCACCTGGGCCCTGTTTTACTGTTCCCACTAAGACACATCAGTGAGCTCACAAAAGTATCTGATCCTAGTTACATGTGCTCTCTTCCTCTGCTTCTATCCAACATATTAGATGATCTTTAACTTATTTTTTTCTTTTCCTCTTTTTAGAATATAACACTAGATTCTTACATTGATTAGATAATATAGAAAATAAGGAAATATAAGCTTAAATAGAAAGTTTGCAGCCCAATTATAACAACATTAAATATTTCTGAGATTTGGAGCTCTACTACCGCTCAACTGCTGAATGCTATGCAGTGTTTCCCTTTGTATCAGATGGTTCAAGATATCCCAAATAACATGGGTAGATCCAGATGCTTATTTTGACAAGCAGAGACGAGAATCCTCTTAGGCAGAAAACATGAAGATCACCAGGTGAATACCCCAAACTGCTGGCTCACATCTGAGCAAGAAGCACGAAGCACATGTGAAATGCAGCCTGTTTGATGTGAGAGGTTTGGTTGAGCTCATCAATCTTAGGATTCACAGTTACTAGTAAAATTTAAGTCAGTGTATTTATACAGCTTGCCCTTAAGATCTTTGGAGGAAAATAAATTGCTGAAAGGCAATGTTTAAACAGTTTAAGAATTAAAAGTTCATCTTGAGTTCTGGTATCTTTGATCAAGAGGAGCCAAGAGCAGCGGGAAAATTATATTCTCTCCCACATAAGGAAATTGCTTGGGAAATGTGTATGCACTAGCTGTAGGGAGGAAGCAATTTAGCACTTTCAAGAGGAAAAAAGAGGTCCTGAGGCTAAAGAGTCTCATAAAATAGTAATCAACTATGAAAATTAATAGTTGGCAAATCAAGAGACTGATGAGTGTATGGCATCATTTTCCTTGGTCCTTGCACTCAGGAAAACAGCAGCATAAACCAGAATATTGTATTCCTTGAAAATAGTTTTGAAAAAGTCATTTGATCCTTATCCCAATTATAAGGGTCCAAATTTTCTAGTAAGCCTGATGTTACCAACATGGATGTTTTGTTTTTTTCAGGAGAAAACATAAAATGCTGCAAACTCCATTCAAATCATATATGGAAAGAGTAAAACCTCTCGAGTAAATGATTAATCTATTAATTATTGCTACACCCTGGAGTATAGAGCTCCTACAGAAGCAATGGATCTCTTTGGGCCTTGGTGCCACGCTCTGCTCATCGTGTGCTTTATCACCTGAGCTGTTTTATAATAAGGAATAGGTCTGCTCAAAAGTGAGGTGCTTCTCAGTATGCAGTAGTAGGCAATTACCCAATCTCATGCTCGTTTCAATGCCTTTTTTCTCCTACTTTGCACAAGATAATGGCATTTTTATATTGCCCTTGGCTGCAGATACAGTAATGATTAGCAATGATATATGTTCACCAAGGGAAAAAGCAAAGGGTAACCCATATATCCCAAAGTCTGGAACTGAAATCTTTGCAAGTTTAATGTGCTTACCTGGAATGTATTAATTTGCAGGAAGGACAATAAAAATATATACTGCAGTTTGCTGTTATCACAAGGCATTTGCATGCAATAATTTACCTGTGCAGTGAATTATGTAAGACAAGGGAGAAAAAATAAAAAGTTTAAAAATAGCAGGAGAAGGAAAATTGTAAGAGAGCAGAAATGGAGGTGAAGTGCATATTCTTTGTAATAGAGTTTCCTTATTATTCCCTCTTGAAAAGACACCTTGCTATAATTTTAAGTTAATTTTCATTCAGAGCATTGATTCAGTGTCTAGGACCTGTGAGCTACCTTTGGCAGTATAAATCTACTGTGTTTTCAGCCCTATAGGTAAAATAGGTGGATTATTCATGTGAAGACTATCAAGAGTTGAGGCAAAAACGTGAGAGATGAAAGTACAGTGTGTTTGGTGAAGGGGTGCCTTGATTCTGGGGAGCTGATGGCTGTGGCCATTCTGGGAAGCACTGACACAGGTGCCCAGATGAGCAGGAAAGCCTGAAAAAAAACCCAATATTAAGTAAATAACAGCCCACAATGGTTTTGAGAGCATTAAATAGGTGATGATTGGGATGGGCTCTGTTTCTGAGAGCTGGCAGGTGAGAAGACACTTGGCTTGGAGTAAAATTTTTCTGGTGCCTTTGGCCATGTGAGATCTCAGCCAGGTCAGTTGATTTCACCAGTATTTGAGAATCAAACCTTCTTGAATATTCTAAATCTTTTCCCTCTGTATTTGTAGGAGGCACACTGTCTTTCAGCTGTGATTCTAAATAAATCATGTAGGCCTTCGATGGACCTCACTTACTAAATAATTTCATTCAATAAATGTTACTAGTAGCAAGCAAATCATAGGTAGGACAAGCATTGAGTGCAGGACCTTCATAAAATTCTGTCAAAGTCAACAAAAATTACCTTTATCCTATCATCCCTGGAGACACTGACTCAGAGAAATTTACGTTAATTTTCTAAGGTACTAATGAAATGAGGAGCTCTCAGTCTTATTCTCCTGAATTGCTGGGACACCGATTCCTAAATAAAACGGGGATGGATCCAACAGCCACCCGCATCTCAGGCAGCAGGTCCCTTCGCCTTCTTGTTTTCCCCTTGATCTGGCACCTCCTGAAGTCAGGAGGAGCTACAAACCTGACAGTAATGGGGGGAAGAGAAGATAAAATGCTAGAAAATGTTTTTATTTAGAAATTGAAAACTCAGTAAAACCAACCCTGTCTTTTTGATAACCCGCTGATTAAAAAGTTCTTGAATGGTATTTCCTTCACTATCCTGCATCTTGCAACACCCTTTCTTCTCAGGTAAAGGAAATAGGTAAAGGAATAGGACAGGGAACCTAATCCACAGGTCCAGCGCAGAGGTGGATTTCAAAGCCCTTCCTTTGCTAGAAGTCCCTTTTTTTCTTTTCCTCTGCAGTTGGCTGTAGGCATTTTCTCTCAGATTACACTCCAACAGTCTCTTGCTTTAAAAGCTACAAAAAACCCAAGTAGACTTGAGGGCTTTCTGTCATGGCTGATTTCCTTCCAAGCTGACAATTCAGGCCTGGTTAACTCTTGGCAGTTCGTGTAGAAGACAGAAGTGAAATACATCTCTCTCTGGTAAGGCCTTAGAAAAATAGATATAGAAAGGTGGGAAGTATGTGCTAGTGAATGTATTTATTTAAACTATACCCATGTGGATGTGTAGACACATAGCAAGCTGCAAACTCAGATTTCATTTTATTCTAAAGCAATTGTTAAGACAATTTAATTTTGATAATCATGGTGCCTAATAATGTACTATGTAAAAACAGAACAGTGAGTTAGATACCTTAAGCCAGTGATTTCCAGAAGCTTATTGTTAAATCATTCAGGCTTTTTTTTAAAAAAGCCAAACACAACCCACAGATTTTCCTGTCTTTCACCACTGTCAGTAGCAGTTAATCATTTTCCCTGGGGACAAAGTTGGGCCCCCATATATCCACATTGGACTCTGGCCATGGTTTTACAAAACTGTACAGCTTTCAGCAGTTACATCATGAATCACAAAATCTCCTAATCTGATAGAAAAGTTGACTGCTTGATTGTGAAACACAAATACCATCGGCCACGGTATGAGACATCCTCACATTTCCTTTTATTTTCCCTCAAGGTGACAGAGTCTCACTGGTATCTTTCACTGATGTTGCAATATTGCAAAAATTTTAAGTGTGTAAGTAAATTGTTAAGAAATAATTAATGGGTGGTATTAAGCCTTGTTGGTTTGAGCAGTGAAGGAAAGATGATTGAAAATCAATTAACATCTCTGAAATTGTAATATAATTAGTAGTTCTGTCTATGGAGTATATTACATTGTTCAGGAGTGCCTTCATGAAACAAGGTAAGTCATGTTTTGAAAATCTCTCAGTGAAAAGAAGTAATTGATAAACACTTGATTTGTTCAGAATAAGAGGTAGTGAATACATAGGCTACTTCCTGATGGATATTCAATTGAATATTAAGTTTTCTCATAGGCAAGAACTCAAATTCCTTCCTAGATTCAGTGAAGATTTGAAGTTTATATTTTAATTATTAAATATGTGAGTACTCATGTTAGGTTTTAATCCAACTATTAAGTTTAGTTAGTCACTCAGTGAAAGCAAGAATAGAATAAATACAGGATTGGATCACAAGGTTGCTCCCTGGCATTGGTATATTAGTTTACTTTTATCTATTACAGAATCATAGGATCACAGACTGATTTGGGATGGAAGGGATCTTAGACCCCATCTCATTCCAACCTTCTGTTATGGCCGGGGACACCTTCCACTAGACCAGATTGCTCCAAGCCCCGTCCAGCCTGTCCTTGAACATTCCAGGGGTGGGGCAGCCATAGCTTCTCTCATATGCCTGTGCTTGGAAAATTATTATTTTCTATTTTCTGCCCTCAAAGTCAAGCTGTAGAGAAATCATTCTTGTAGCTTGCGCTGACAGCCAGATCAAGCTTATCTCCCTAGCTCTCAGCTCAGAGCCCCTTTGTGGGACTGCAGGCCAGCAGCAGCTCTTGAGCTCCAGTGCGGGGTGTCAAGTTCCCAATTCCTTGCTTCCCACAGTGCCTCCAGTGATTCGCGTCTACCCCGAAACGCAGGCACAGGAGCCGGGCGTGTCAGCAAGCCTGAAATGTCACGCTGAAGGCATCCCTAATCCTCGAATTACCTGGCTAAAGAACGGCATTGATATCATGCCAAAACTATCCAAACAGCTATCACTCCTTGGTAAGAACAGAATTTTGATTAATTAAAGTATTTTAGACAGGGATTAAGAAGGATTATTTTGCACTTTAAACCAGAAGTTCTTGTACTTTGCTAAGCCACAGTTGTTGGAAATCATATTATAAAACCCCTGTTCTTTCTTTTTATCTCTTTCTCCTGTAAATCCTGGGAAATTATGTAAGTGATAATTGCATTCTGTTCAAAGACAGCCTGCCCGTTTCTTCACTGCTTTGCTTCTTGTGTACAGCACAGCAGAAAAGAAATGCATTAAATTATTTGAAGAGAAATTCAATAAATTATTTGTTCATGTCTAAGCCCACACTGGATGCAAGTCATCTGAGAATCAGTCTCCTACTTGGCTCTGTTGAAGGAATTGGACTTTTAACTCCCCTAGGTCCCTGTTCAAATGAGGATGCAACAGGGATAGCAAAAGGCAAAACATTTATCTGTAATTTTCTGTGTAAAAATACTAACCCCGTCCTCAACACATGCCCCAGCCTGGCTTTGGTGGATTGTAGCCTTTAGCCTGTGTAGGTAGCACTGCTATCACTGCATAACACATACAATATCTCAACATGTTCCAAACAAACATGATCCAACTGCAGAAATCAAAATGGTAGGAGGAACTGTAGAGAGACCTCTTTAAACCGAAGTTTTTGGTGATCTGATGAAAAACAGTTTGCAAAATTGGAATTAATTTTTCTTCACTAAAACCAAAGCATTTTTCTAACAAGAAGAAGAAATAAATGAAATGTGATTTATTGTTTGACTTGGGATTGTTCTTTGTTCTTTTCTGGTGTGGAGCATGTATGTGCTGTTGGAAAGGAGCAAGACATCAGCTCCCATGAGAATCCCCGAAAACCTCTAGTTTTCTAGGAGGAAACACAGTGGGATAGAACCACCCTGTTGAGCCATCACTGGGAAGCTGTGGCAATGGAAGACAATTAAGGCAGGGAAAGCAATTAGCAGCAGTGAGGAACACTGTTTATGAGCATCTCTCTTACAGCAAATGGAAGTGAACTTCATATCAGTAGTGTTCGGTATGAAGACACTGGTGCCTACACCTGCATTGCTAAAAATGAGGTGGGAGTGGACGAGGATATATCTTCCCTTTTCATTGAAGATTCAGCGAGAAAGACCCGTAAGCTCAATTTCCCATGTATTTATTTCTTTAAATAGTTTTTTAATGTGATGGTATATATATAATTTAATCGTTCAGGCTATTGCATGCAGTAAGTTGGATCTTACATAAGGTAATGACAGTCCTGAATAAACTTTGATCAGAGGATTGGACACTTTTTGGGGTAGGAATCATGCAGAAAAGGTAAAATCTTGTCCAGGAAGATGATATCTTTCATGTGCCAGAAACATACTAGGTGTGTGATGGGTAATAGCTTTATCGGAGTAACAAATTGGCAATAGTTTATAATATCAGGGAATCCAAAATGTAATATTTTGTTGAATTCTATTAATCTCATTGATTTCTGTACAAGATTCTTTTGAAGCCAGTTACCAGTCAAAATTCTTGAGTATTTAGATGTCTGAAAAATGTTGTGATTATATTATTTATTTTACCTGTTTTTACCTCACTGACTGGCAAAATAGGTTTCTCTCAGTGTGAAATTATACAAATACTCTCCCAGCTACCCTTCCCACATCTCCCTAGGAGTGCAGCAGTTATCTTGACCACACTGACCCCAAAACAGAATTGCTAAAAGAGATGATCAGTTGTCCCAGTAGAAAAGCTCCCTGAGGCCTGATTTTTTCTAGTTCCGCCATCTTAACTGCCTGGGAGATTACCTGGGTTTGTGGTGGTAGTAAAAGTCTAGGTGCAAACGGGATTTTTGCTGCTTTTCTGGCTGCTAATATAGAGCAAGAATTGAAAACAAAGTTACCCATAAATATGGGCTTTCAAGGAGATTAACTAGATTTATGTACTCTTGTTAATATTGGTAGTTTTCCTTTGAATACTTGAGCAAGGGAAATTACAGTATATTGAGAAATAATTGGATCTATCTGGAACAGAAATTCAAATGCAGGCATATTTTCAAAGCTTATGTAAATTCTGAAAGAATGAAGTTGCATGAAGTTCCAAGAAACAATGCAGCCAAGGGTGTAGCTGCTGTAGCTGCCAGTCTCAGTCTTCTTCTGAAGATGCTGGTGGACCTGACAGTGCTGGATTAATGGTTGCACTCGATGATCTTAGAGGTTTTTTCCAACCTTAATAATTCTATAATTCCATGTTGTGTTTCCTTATTGAACCTGCACAGAAAATCACAGGCTGTACCATACCTCCAGCTGCATTTGAAGGTAACAGCTTCTCTTTAGTAGGTCATTGGTCTTTGCACAGCTGCCTTGATTTCAGGAAGGATTTTTCCCATGTCAAAGTTTTTGAATTGTCTCTAGAAGGAGCAAATGTGTTTATAACTCTCTGTTTTTCCTGGTATTTTATTTGAATTAATATTACAAAATTTTCACCAATTAAACAGTTCGTGTAAACATGAGTATTTATTCAGTTACCTGCTACAATGAAAATTTTGACATTGTTTTTTTTTTTTTTTTTTCCCGATTATTTTCTGGCTTTCCCAATATTCTGATGCTGCAGTTGCAAACATACTGTGGCGAGAGGAAGGTACTGCAGTAAAGTTCTTTTTTCGTAGTGATAATGTGCTTGTCTGCTTTAATAATTCCATGATGGGCCATTCTCCACTGACTTGCCACTAATGCTATCAACTTTCACAGTCACCAGATTAAGTACAGACCAGACATTTGAAAGCTAAATTATTCAGATAAGAGATATCACTCTTTTACCTATAACTTCTTGCATTTTCCCACTATGAAATAATACATGACCATAAATTATATAAAAATATTAATTTTATATATACTGCCAAAAATGTGAGTAGCCTAAGATTTTCAAGCTTCATTAGCAATCACACAAGTGTCAGAAGTGCTCCCAAATTACCATAATTGAACAAGTAAGGCATAAATTCAATATACTGCATTTTTGAGCAAGCAATTCAAACTCTTCCTTTTCAGTAGCATGTATTGATGTTTTCCAGCTGAGCAACAGAAACTGTGCTCTTGACTGTTAGGCAAAATAAAAATCCAAACAACAACAGGTTTTATTCCCTCTATCCTTTGAATCAATGCAGAGTAAAGGTTGCACCATTTCTTCTTGTTCTAATTGGCAGTTAAGTTTGATCAAACTTACAGTGTGCCCTTCTCAAGCTCAACAACTGTGTATCTTGGAAGCCAAAGTATAAAAAACCCCATCCTGAGCAGCTAATTGACTCAAACATATTATGGAGGCACTTCAAATCACCTCATTTTGTACATGCTTGTGCTGTCATAATTTCCAAAATACCCAGTAAGAAGTGTCATGCAACAGCCCCAGGGGCTCTCACACAAGTTGTCTATCTGACTCTGTAGGTGTGGAGCCCAAGTGTGTGGAGGGGACCCTGTGACCTTGGGCTCCTGGAGGGCTGTGAGCAGGACATCTACTCACTGGAAGAAGGTTCTGAGGTTGAAGCACAGATGTAAACTAGTTCTTACATCTGCCAACTGCTTATGAGGCAGCTCAGACCTTGGTGTCCTTCAAGCTGGGAAAGGTTGCTGTACAGTGACATACTGCTCTTGGCCATGTCCCCCTGCAAACACCCAAACTCTCTCACACTGCTCCTCCAAGAAGGGCTTCTGCTTTTGGAGGGTGCAAAGGCCCCTTTGTAAGTAGTGCCTCCACGTACCCAAAGCAATATCTGGGCCTCCAGTCCTCAGCATGAAGCTTTCTGGGTAGCTTGGGCTTGGCACAAAGGATTTCAGGGGCAGAAGGAAGGTGCCAGGGTGTGGTAACCAGAGCAGCCTGGGCCAGGTGTGCAAACACCAGGTGTACACTGTCAGTGCCACTGTTGGCCACAGACACATACAGAAAATACACTAGTTTATTTCTGAAGTCCCTTCCAACCCAAGCCAAATGCAGCTCCCTGGAGGTCAGAGACGTGGCACAATCACCTAGGAGAGCTCCCCAGCACTTCTTCCTAAATACTCCACCTGCAGCTTCCTGGTGCAGGGCTCCTGGTGAGGAATCTTCACTGCCAACATTCCTGTAAATGGCATTATGGTTACTAAGAATTGCTATTTCCCTTCTGCTTGGAAATGAAATATCTAATGCATCTCATCAGTCCAGCATCAACTGGACGTTGCTCTATGGCTGTTTATATACAGCGTCCCTTTATACTCCTTTTTGAAGAAAGCAGTTGGATAAACCTACCAGGTGTAGAAGTACAGTAATATATAAAGAACAGCTGAGAAGTTAGTTGCAGAAAGTCTTATTATAATTTTGCTCAATAAATGGACTTACTGCTTATCAACCTTGCACATTTTAAATAAAAGTATGAGCAATGCTGGGGCAAAACATGGCCAGTAAAGCAGATTTTCTATTGATGGTCCTAAACAATTCAGCATCTGTAAAGCAGGTTTATTATCCTGCTTGTGTTGTTCTGTAGCATTTGATGGGCACATTCATTCTAGAATATACTTCAGCATGTGAAATCTTGGCACAGAGAAAGCTGGAAGACAGGAATGGTATTTTTGGTTTTACATTTTAATGTACTCGTTCAATACCTTCTATATGCAAGTAGCAATATTAACAAATGCATTAGTAGATTTGAGCTCCTTTAAAATGATCGCAACCTCATCCCCACAAGGTCTGGAGTAATTAAAACTTTGGGAAAATGCCTAAACAAAATATGATGCAGAACAAACTTTTGCTGCAAGTCAAACTTTTAACACAAGTATTTAGTAATTTTAATAGTCAGTCTGTCAGTTTGTTCTCAAAACCTTTCAGACCACGCACAAGCAACGCCTCAAGAAATAAGTGCTCGTAGGGCAACCAGCCAGTTAAACCTGGGGCTGGAAGCACATGCAGTATTTATTCAATGTACAAATAGTTTTTAATTTTGTCCAGAGAAAACCATGAGTATCCCAAATGTAAAGCAGAGATTTGTTTTCATGACAGTGTTCATTTCTGTAGTGAGCATTGCTTACTTAATATCTGGAGAAAAGGAGCATTTTGTGCCAGCAGGCAATCAGCAGTTATGTGAATGTATGCACTTAAAAGTCTGAAAGCCTTTTCATTACCAAATTTAAGTATTTAGATTAAGTTGAGGAAAATTACTTAAGTATCAGATCAGAGGAGAGTATTCCATGGTGAAAAATTTGCCCTTTGAGCTCAAAGGAGGGATGTATAAATGTACACTGATGGAGACACTGTATTTCTCAAATAAGCTCTTTTTGATATCAGGTGTCTTCCTGAAGTTTGTTTTTTTTCTTAGAGCCAACTTTATCTGGAATGGCTCAAATAAGAACTGTTATGTTCAGGAAACCCTCCCCATTCTTAATGGGGTTTTTTCATATTACAGGTTTTTTGCTATGCAGGTGAGGTACATTGTCTTTCATAATGCCTTTAGGTTTTGAACTACTTGTGTTATCTAACCTGGAATGTCCTCAATTGGAAATGAAAAAAAGAACCCAAACTTCCTCATACTCCTCATTAGTCCCCCAGTTCCCAATTTAGTACCTGCCTCACTACTATGAAAAACACAAAATACCTCATTGCCCACCTCTGTACTGAAATAATTCCCAATTCCCTGCACCAAGGAGTTGCATCAGTATAGTCAAAAATTGAGTCTGTTCTACTGATGTCCATGAGATTATTTAGGATGTACCCCAACCAAGATTTGGCAAATGTTTCTTAAGTCACAATAAAATACCTAGTTTGTCTAGTAAAATTTGTTTGGTCTAAACACCAGTGTGAAGATCAATCTCTGGGAAATAAAAAGTGGTTTAATCTAAACTGATGAACTTTTTTAAAAAGAGAGTAACTGAAGGCTCTCAGGAATTTGTAGTATTTTAATCAGTCTGCAGAAAAACTTGGACTCATTTTACTGTAAAATAAGTAGTAGAACTTGCCAAGTCTCTGACTAAACCTGTTGGGGTAAAATTTTTAATCAAAGTATTTTTGTGGGTAATTAAGGTTTTACTTCTTAAGTACCCCCTCATTGTAATAAGATCATAAGACAAAATCACGCTAGTTGTATGCATGAAAATAATAATAAGCATATTCACAGTAGTCATAATTGATTGCCTGCCTGTTTTCACTTCTTAGGATTAAAATCCTTTACCCATGAAATATCGGCACTCATTCCAGGCCAGGGTCAAATTCTGCTCTCTGATGTGTTCATCAAATCTCACTAAAGCAAGTGGGAGTTGTGTGGATACTGGGAGTGCAGGTTTTGGTCCAAAGTGCCTGAATGAAATGTTTTACCAATATACGTGGGAAAAAATAACCTTTAGTCCATGAAATAACTCTCGATTGAGCTTCTTTTTAGCTTTTTTCCTACATACATGACCCTGCTCTGTGGAATCACATTTGAGGATCATAGCTCTTGTACCCACCTGATGCCCTAACTGGGGGATTTTGGAGCTATGGTTCAGAAACTCCACTTGAACCATATCAGTACAGCAAACACCACATGCTGATACATTGTATTCTGAAGCTACTTATTTGGCATCAAAAGAAGGGGGCTTAGCAACAAAAAAGCCCTTCTAGCCTTACTAAATACAATGTTTTACAAAATTTTCCAAAAATGTATTTGTCCAAATTATCCATATTTTTACTGTCAAATTTCCTGTGATGATTTAGATCTCAATCCTGCAAAGTTAAGAAATGCGAGAAACTCTGTCTCTGTGAGCAGTATTTAGAGCTGCCTTCACAGGACCAGCAAAGGGAATTTTCCACACTGAACACTGATCCATAGCATGGGGACTTTATTTCTCCATGGGAAAATTTTAAGTAATTCGAAGATAAAAATTATAGCATCACCAAATTGTTGGCAGATAAAGTGCACTATCATTACTGCTAGGGGTGACAGTGGTCATTGCAAACACTTACTGGTGGTGATGTGAAAAAATTGAATGGTTGGATCTTTGAAACTAGAGTGTTTTAGAGGATCCAGAACATTTCATAAATTGTCACTGCAATTCCATGTAGCATGACAGAAGTGTTAAAACACAATCTCCTAATGGCAAAGCAATGGCAATCAGCCAGTTTTCCAAATCTCCTGGAATGTCCCGGTTGGATAAATGAGTGTTGATGCAATGCCGAACTACTTCACATTTGTGAATTACAGTTTGAAAGATTTCAAAAATGTATTTATTTTGGTGGCTGTAGTTAGTTCTTTCAGATAGTTTAAGAAAATAGAGAAATCTATTTTCAGTCATGGTACAGATGCTAAACACTTCCATTTAACATCACTACCAGTGGTCAAGTTACCTGTAACAGGATGACCTTTACTTTAACATAACTAAAGCTTTTCTTTCAGTTCTCAAATTGTCAAGCTGTTTTTAATGAAATCATAGGAAAAAACCAAATTCGTAATCTGAGGGGGGTAGCAGAGAGGCAACAGAGAGGCAGGCATCTTGGGATCAAATCCTGCTTTGGTACCTATTTATGATACCCGGTCATATTTATTTGGGTACAACCACTGCCACCAAGGCAATGCATTTTTGAACGTGTTTGTACCTCTTCACTCCTTGAAGCCCTTGTTGTGACATGAAATGTGATTTTGTGAATGCTCCAACTGCATCCAAATGGCAACTTTTATGCAAGGCAGATTTTGTTTGTCAGGAGAGGAGGACAAGTTCTTTTATAAAGTCCTAACAACTATGGATACATACAAAAGAAAATCCAAATCCTTCTTCTTTATCCCCCTTTAAGGCCTGAGTGTTGGGAATATGTTCTATGTCTTTTCTGATGATGGGATCACAGTCCTTCAGCCAAACGAATGTGAAATCCGGAGACATATCAGGCCCGAAGAGAGGATTTTCACAAGTTATGTAAGTCCTAAACCCAGCAGCTACAGCTGACAGCTGGGAAACTTTCTCTTAATCTCTTCAAAGGTTGTTATTGCTAAAGGACCTGTTTGCTACAGGGATGTTGGAGCTTAGTGGGCTTCATGCAGCATCCCTGGGGTAGAGAATCTTCTCTTGAAAATCAGGGGATCCACGTAAGTTCTAAGGCTGACATGGAGGATTTACTGACACACTGCAGAGAATTTGGCTAGTTATCACATTAGCCAAGATGTTTATTTGTCCTTTTGATCTGTTTACTTATCCATGCCCCAAATTTGTAACTGAGCTTTAGGAAAGGTACAAAAGTCAGTAGCAGAGACATGCACACATCATTCACTGGTGCTCCTTTTACTGATGGCTCCATAGGTAAAGAAGTGAGCTAATTTGGGCCACCTTCTGCCCTTTGAAAGTGGTTTGCCATGTTAAACAGGGAGGCAAATCAGAATGCCCAGAAAATGGTTGTGCCATGGAGGTCCTCTGCATCTTCTGCCACTGAAAGAGACTGCACTCACCATGTTTGCTGTTAGCACTTTTCTGTCAGCACTGAATTTACCTACCACTTGCTTTAGGAAATCACAAGGAAAATTTTTTAAGGTATCAGGAATGTCAAGCACTGGCTTGTAGGCAGTGGAGCTCAACATGGCCAGTGGGATAACACATGCTTGGAGGCTCTCTGAGGTCAGTATTCTCAGTGACCTGTGTTATGTACTCTTGCACAGAAGCATACATCAGGCATATCCTCATGAAACTGTCAGTTCTAAAAAAAACACAGGTGCTGAAATACATCCAGAAATGCTTTTTTAGTCACTCCTTTACTTACTTTCTAATTTTAAAAAGGGGAAGTTGAAAATGTGGTTAAAGAATGTGGTTCTTCTGAAAAAAAGGGGCTCAGCCTTAATTTCCATTTTGGGAGGAATCAAAGGGGAGAATCACTGTCATGAGCCTGGCAGGTTGGGTCAACCTCTGCTGCTATGGGTCAAGATTGTCTAATGAGTCTGTAGTAAGTATTTTCTAAATCTCAATAAATTTGTGGTTGATACTGATTTTTTTTTCCTACTAGATTTTAATATACCTTAGAAGAAGTCCAGACTCATGCTCACTCCAAGGCTAGTCCTTACCACGGACTTAATACTATTAAGCGACACCTAAGATTTATAAAGACAGAAATCCTATGTTTCTTTTCTGAAGAACTGTAAATATTGAAGAAATGGTCCTGCAGAAACAGGAAAAAGAACAAAACAGAGAGGGCATTTAAGGAAATTATATCAGCACACTGGTGTGCATAAAAGGGATTTTTAACATCATTTGGCTGCTTTTCAGAGATGCCTCTGAGGGATTCCTACAGATCTCAAAAGATCCTTCCCTTGGTCTAGGGAGGATTGACTTTTTCTCCTCCCTTTTCCCTTTTACTGTCTTGAGTGTTTGTTACATAGACAGTGACACCAGCCCAACTTTAAGAGTGGATCTACAAAAAAAGTTGCTTCATTTGCTATTAGAGGGCGCCAAGGCAGGTGGAGCAGCTGCAGCTGAGCCCTGTAGTAGAAAGACTGGTGACCTTTTTCTGCTTCCCCTTGGCTTGGATGGATGCTGTGTTATGAGAGCTGAGGATGAGGAGGGCAGTATGGAGGCTGGCAGGTGCCTGACTGCATGAATGGCTGCTGGAAGCCCAAGTCTGAGCTTTTGTATCATCTTCTAGCTTGTAGCATAGATTCCCAGCCTGGCTGGAGGAACAGAAAGGAGAATGCGGCCAAGTTCTTGAGTCTTGTATCTTCAACCCTTACCTGTGATCTCCACCAAGACACTCAGCCAGCACAGCTGTGCTGCTTAGAGGTGACAGCTTTTTATCCATAATTGTTGCACATAATGTAGGTCCCTTCCAGCTCAGGATATTCTATTCTTTCTATTCTATTCTATTCTATTCTATTCTATTCTATTCTATTCTATTCTATTCTATTCTATTCTATTCTATTCTATTCTATTCTATTCCTCCAATACAGACACAATGTCGACATTGCTAATTGTACCTCCTCTTTCCCTGAACAAGCTCTGATACAGCTCCAGTCACATTTTCCTTAGGTAGGTTGGGCCATTATTTAATATTACCCAATATATGGTCTAAAATCAACGGTTGTGCTCACTGAAATGTATATGTATTCATTTTCATTTTATCCCATTTCCTCTCCACAGCCTGGTCCCACACAAATGCTCTTTTAAATAAAGCATCTTGACAGAAGGAAGAGCGATGAAGAGTCACAAACATACAGAGAGTTGTTACTGAGACCAAAAGTCACTCTTCAAACTCAGGGTAGCTGTACCAGTTCTGCATAGGACTCAGTGAGTGGAGGATCAGAAATGAAATATGTAATCAGCAGCTGTGAACAGCATTTGGCCCAAAGCAGCAGAATATGGTTCCTTTTGAACAGGGGAAGTTTCCATAGTTTTAGGATCCTGCTTGTTTTCTGTTTCCTTGAGCACAGGTGTTATAGAGCATGCTCTCCTGTGCAGAAAATAAAGACTATGAAAAATATAAAGCAATGACTCAATTAATGTAAATCCCTGTTTTTTCAAAGCACATTGTGATATTTCTATTGCTAATAGATGCTGACAGCACCGCAAGCCTTGATGAACCATAGCATGATACAAAAGATCAATCCATAGGTTCTATGGTTATTTAAATTCAATGTAAGTTTGCAAGAGGTCCAGCTGTTTAATGTCATTGCATAGAGCCAGGCTGAAGTGTGGCACTTGATAAATTGATTGTTTTATGTTTTCCAGGAAAGAAAGGGGAGAAATATCATCCTAATGGAATCCCCAGGGATTTTTTTCCTGTGGTTTACAAGGCTAAGCTTCTTGGTGCTCCAGGCCCTGAACTTGTAAAAATTAAACCTTTTCATTTTTTAACCCCTCAGGAGGAGATCTGTCCTAGAGTGGAAGGTGAAGACACTCAGTCCTGCCTCTGGGCTTCAGCAGTCAATGTCAGAGACAAATACATTTATGTGACACAGCCAAAGCAGAACAGAGTAATGATAATTGATATCGAGACTCAAAAAGCAATACAGGTACTTACAAGTGAACACATTATTCACTGATGGCAAAAGACTTGATATAGGAAAAAAAAATCCGTTTTTGCCCAGTGGATCTGCTGGGCAAAGATCTGCTGGTCACTAAAGAGCTGGGCCTATGTTGCTTTCACCAGTGGGATTGCATGGGGTTCACTGTTCTGTAACCTCACTGGCAGGAATAAACTCCTCTGTGGGTAGGAGATCACAGTCTCAGGGCTGCATCTGCAGCCAAGCTTACAGTGAGTCTAGTAAAATAACGCTGGGATGAATTTCTGGCTTAGCTGCCTGACCTGGGTTATAAGCAGCTTGGAGCTGGTGTGGATACAAATCAGACAGAAATTGGCCCTTGATCTACTGGCTACAAGTAAGATCATAAGATGGTGTGAAAATGGCACCAAACAGCCAATTTTTTTCAACTGCTGCTGATCCTCCACTTGATTTTAAGTCAGAGCTGCACGGCGAACATAACAGTGGTGCATGAGAATGCCTACAGTGAACTGACGTAGTATTTGTCTTGTGCATTTGGGTTGCTGTGTGAATAACTCTCCCTCGGTTTTTTTAAGTTCTTGGATGTGGACCCATTACCAACCAAATTACATTATGACAAGTCCCATGACCAAGTGTGGGTGCTCAGCTGGGGGGACATGAAGCAATCATCACCCACACTGCAGGTAAGTCCTTACACTTTGGAGCCTTTGCTCCTCCTGGGCTCATTATCACTGGTAACACACTGGTGGGTGGTGGATTGCAGGTAATTAACAGCATTTAATGGTCTGGATATAAAGCTGCTGTTTCATTTGCATATCCAGTGTGTTTTATTCATCCCTCCTCTGTCCATCCTCACATATTTTTCCTGCTGTTTAATTTGTTTTTGAGCAATGACTGTGCCACAGGCTGACAGCAGGGCTGCTTTGTGCCAAGATCTGTTTTGTTTTAAGACTAGTGACAGAGTCAAGTGCTGGAAAGTTATACAACAAGGGCTGGCGGCTGGCTGTGAGCAGGACAAGACTGCTGTGCTCTGCAGCACTGGTGAAGCACCTCGAATCCTGGGTTCAGTTTTGGGCTCTCACTACAAGACAGACATTGAGGTGCTGGGATGTGTCCAGAGAAAGGCAACAGAGCTGGGGAAGGGTCTGGAGCGCAAGTCTGATGAGGAGCAGCTGAAGGAGTTCAGTCAATCTCTACAATTCCCTGAAGGAAGGTTGGAGCCAGATAGAAGTCAGTCTCTTCCCCCGTGTTACAAGTGATAGGACCAGAGGAAACGGCTTAAAGTTATGCCAGAAGAGGTTTAGGTTTAGGTTGGTGTTAGGAAAAATGTCTTCACTGATAACTTTCTCAAGCCCTGGAACAGGATGCCAAGGGCAATGGTGGAGTCACTGTCCCTGGAAGGATTGAAAAGACCTGTAGATGTGGCACTTGGGGACATAGTTCAGTGGTGGGCTTGGCAGTGCTGGGGAAATAGTTGGATCCTAGAAGACTTTTCTGTCGTTAACAATTCTGTGAATCTGTGATTCCCTCACAGTAAAATGGAAAAATGGGCTCTCTAGGGCATTGAAAAAAAGCCAAACAAACAGAAAAAAACAAACCAGGAGAAGTAAAACTTCGGGGACAAATTGTGTTATTTGGGTGTTAGTGATTTCACTGCAGGGGTGCCAGTTATATCTATGGAATTCCTCCATGATCAGCACCACCAGACCCACAGTGACACTGGGACACAGCACTGCACATGAGTTTGGACAACCAAATTAGCTTCCACTTCTGGATCACCTTGGCAGATCTGCTCTTCTATTGACAGTACAGAGAACATGGAGAATAGTCATCTAGTGGAGCATTTTTTTGCTGCTGTATGTTGTATGGCAGACTTGACACCAGTTGATGGCTGTGATTTGATCCATCCAGACATCCCATTCTCTGGTAGTTGATTTCTTGCTGTGTAACCTTTCTGGAAACAGGTGTCATATGAATACTCCTTCTGCCAGAAGTGTTTACTGCTAAGTCATTAAAGCATTCCTCAATAGGCAGAGAAGAAGGGGGGATATGCTTTCTGACCTAAAAACCAACAAATTGGAGTTTACATTAATTATGGGGCTACCCGAGGCTTCTGCTGGTGATACTGCCCCATGAAGATGGGATGAGCCATCCCCACCATCCACACTCTCCATCCATTGCTGACTGTCAATAATAAAGACTGGACCAGCTACTCATCACAGGCAATTTCAGGAAAAGATGCCAAAACCAGAATGGGGGCATATAAATGAAGGTTTCCAGGGCAGCAGCACCAGGTTGTCTTACCTGGGGATGTGAGTTTCCTGTACAGGGTATAAGGAGACAAAATGGGCTCTTTTTACCCTTTCTGACTTAATTTCTTCCATCCAGCTGTGAGAAGCTTCTGTAATTAAAGGAGAGATGGCACAAACATATCATTATTAGGAAGAACACACCATCTGCACAGTTGGAAACTTGTTAGAAGGCTCAAGGACTCAGGTAGTCCTTTCTGTTATCTTTATGATGTGCAGTTAGATGAGATTAGCATCAGCAGCAGCAGATCCTTTCTTTTTTCTGACCTTCTTTCCCAAAAGGTGGGCAGTGACTAATTGGGCAAAGTTCCTTCTTAAAACCTGCAGTGTTTGGTTGCAGACGTGCAATAAAATAACTTTTTAAATGAAGATGCTTCTGCAGAGGTTGATCTAAATTTCCACTCATTCTCTGGAAGTCAGGGATATATCAAACTGCTTGTGCAACCAACTAACAGGATGCTGTTGTTTGGTCATTACTGGCTTGTTGGAAGCAAATGTCTGGCCTCTTGAAAGCACTGTACGAGGGTGGGCATCCTTCTTGAAAAATCTAATTGGAAGAAATCTAAATGGTATGAGCAGAACACCTGTCTGAAGTAATTATTTTAGGGATTTAGCAGGTCTTTAATGAATTATGTAGCTATAAATTCAAAGCAACGACTGCAGCAGATTAGAGTAGCAGAAGGTCCTAATGAATGGACTAAAGTAATCTTAAACCCAGCAAACAATTTGAGTGTTTAGCATTTTAATTTTTGAAAACTTACTTTTCCTTTCCGGAGCAGTGGAGGAGCTGAGTTCCCCTGTCCATGGAGATCCGTGCTGTGCTGGAGGACAGGACCAGGGGACAGCCAAAGTGCACTTCTCCACTCCTCCCTGGAATTTATATCGATGGATGAAAAGTTTTTCTCCTTCAAAGTGATAATTAACTGCTGTGAGTTAGTGTTTGATCCTTCAGGGTGGTAAATTATCACTGTGCATTAAAGTGAGATTAATAAATATGACCATGAAGTAAATGTTTATTTTAGACAGTGAGGGATAAATCATTATGGTCCTAGTGTTGTCATACTGCTTCAGCTCCTGCTTGACTGCTCTTTCTCAAGATGTAAACAACTTACGAAAGTCATGTACTTCCCTTACAAATGTCAACTCTCAAATACTATTTGCTTTCACACCTTTTCAAGACAAGTACACCAAACAGTGTTTTGAAGTCAACTGAGTCTGCTATACCCTGGAAAGAGCCACTGGGTACCGTGCATGTCTCTGATCTGTATTTACCTTTCTGCCTTTCCTAGAGCTTATCCTGTGCTCAACCTTGTGTGTATTTATTGTAGGTAATTCCAGAGGCGAGTGCTGGGGAGGATCCGCATGTTATCCACACACCTTTTGAAGGAGTAGATGATTTTTTTATACCACCTACTAATCTTATTATTAATCATGTTAGGTGAGAAATTATTTTAATGAATAATAATGGTGACCATGCTGCTTCTTTCTCATCACCTTAAAGCACTTTACAGATATGAATGAAGGAATGAATGGGTGAATTAATTAATTAATTAATTTGTGATGAATCTTAACTATATTTATCCCCATTTTCACACATGAAATGGAGAAATGGTTGAGGAAATTGCCAGTAGTTATTCTGTTAATCAATAAAACAGCAAGAAACAATCCTGGGCTTCCTTTAGACCATGCACAGGTATTCAAACCTCACCTTAGTCAGCCATTCTTCCTTGCAGCTTATGGCACACTGCCCTGGCTTACTTGTGCCAGAAATTTGATGGCCCAAAAATCACCTTCCTTGCCACAAAATTGTTGTGGATCTGGGAAAAACCTGTGTCAAGGATATATTGCTTGAAGTGGTAAAAGTATACTCTGCCTGAAGCATAAGATGTGGTTCTTTCATGTGTTTCCAGCTTGTTCAAGTCTCTGCATGGGGTTTATGGCTGGAGCACAAAAATTATATGCACTGCTCATAAAAAAAAGAAACAAACCTCCATGAACTATCAGTTTTGAATTTTAATGTAATGTAATAGTTAATGAGGTTGTGTAACTAACATACTAATAACCTGGAGTAATACTGGCTGCTTCCCAGCAGGCACAGAAAGCCTCCCATTAACATTATCAAAATTGATGATAACTGCATAGCAATTTATACTATTCTTTCCATGTTATAACATAACAACTGTTTAACCATCTTTTGTCCTCTATATAGTTTAACTAAGTTAAACACTCAAAAACCATAATGTAACTCTTTACACATATTAGGTTTCCTGCAGGAAACACTGAGAGAGAAGGGGTAACACTTAAATGATTATATGCTGAATCTGTTCCAAAATAAATAATTTTGCCTGCTGAAACACAAAATGATGATGCATGTCTCATGGCTGTCATTTGTAATTTCTCTCTACTTCATATTTCCAGTTTTCTTTCACAATTTCATTATGACTAATAGTAGTGCCAGGAGGTAGATGACTGCTGAATGTTAAAGCCTGAGCTGAGGAGGCGAGAATTGGATTCAAAGACAGGAAGGTGGAACAGTTATCCATTTTTGTTTATATAATTGTCCTTTTGGTTCTGTGTGATTAGTTGGCTGAAACAGTAAATACAGATTATTGTCTGCATTTTTCCCTATGCAAAATTGCAAATTCTGTCCCTGATTTCCTGTTTCATTTTTTCAGGGCCAGATCTTTGTCTATTCTCTCTCACCCTCAGCACAGAAAAATAATTGCTTGCAGGCTAATGAGACTCATTGAGATGATGTTATAAATTCTCTACTCAGAAACAATAAATGGCAGTACCAGCATTTCCCAGGAAGGTGAATGTTTAAGGAATTTCTTCCATGAGCCAAGTAATATTTGTATGCAAATACTCCTGCATATTTGTTCAGCTGCCTCTTATTTTAGATGGATATCTAGAAATATATCCATTTTTATTAGTTCCAGGGGTAGACTGATGTCTATTAAAAGCTCTCTAAGTGCAAGGTTTAATTTGAGATTTCAGATCACAGATTTCATGCAAGGACTGAGCCTCCTCTGCAACTGTGGGTACATAAAATATATCCTGACCCACTTCTTTAAATGAAAGTTTATGATAAAAAACATTTCTTAACTTCTTCAGGCATTTGGCCAATTATTAAGGAAGTCTTGGGGGGAAAAAAAGCTGTAAGGGAAAGAACTTTTTAAAGTGTACTTAAAATGCATTCATCCAGGAGAAATACAAGTGTTATATCCAATTTCCACACACACAGTGTGCTACAACTCTCCACTGCAGATACTTTGTGAAGTCTCTAATGGATGTGAGTATAATGGGGAAATGAAAGGCTTAGCCCAGTAATTTTCATGGGATCATACTCTACATTGGCTCGTTCTTTAGAAGTGAAATCATTGCTAAGTGTCTCATTGACATATGGATTAAGAATAAAGAAGTAAACCTAGTGTTTCAAGCAAAATATGTATTATCTGCACAGAAGCATGTTGTCATCCATATTTCACAAGGCAATTTTACATCTTTTGAGGAAGAGATACCACACTAAGCACTCACTTCATTTCCCTCTGTCTGCATTGAATGGATGAAAAGATACTCGATATACAATTAGTTTTTGTAAGTCATTGTCAGTGAATCCAGTGGAACATAAATAGGCTGTTTCTAAGGACGACCTGTCAAATTAAGCAGAAACTTTCCTTGGCTATTCTTGACCTTTTCTTGTCTTCAGCAAAGGTCACATGTGCTGCAGCATATATCTTTTACAGAAAATTTTTCCTCTGCTCACTGTTTTTTGCCTGTCTTGAGACAGAAAATAAAGACCCTTTATCTTCAGGGCACCCTGGTTATGTTCCTCAAGAAATGTTTTCTACCTTCCCTGGGCTGGCAGGATGGCTTTTAAGAGTCTGCTCTGCACAGCAGGCTTGCCATCTCCTGCAGTGGGTCCTAGGCACCACGGGTACCACAGCTTCCCTCTGGTGCTGTCAATTAAGAGATGAGATTAGATATGGTCTTCATTCAGTGGTTATACATTACATTGTACACAACTATATTTATTATATATAGTTACTCTCTGACCCCAACTTGGCAGCAATATGCTTTATTTTGAATGCTTGAATGCTATTTTGAGATTGAATGCTTGAGTATATATTGGATTTCACTACTGTAATCTCAGACAGATTAAATACAAATCTGGTCAGTGTTAAACCTACTGAACACCCAAACCTTGATATAATTTCTGTAGAAATTAGTCTTCCCAATAAATGATTTTGGCTCTTAAAGATTCAAACAGCTAAGCACATATTCAAATTTTCCAGGATCAGGAGATTGCTAATTTGAACTGAAATATATTCCTCCTTCTAGGATGTTTTAGAAGCACTAAAAGACATTTCTTACAAAAAGAGACAGCATTATTGCACATGCTTCCAAAACCAACAAAATAAAAGGTTCCCAAATCTGCTGACTTTGCTCAAGCATGTTACCATGTCTCCAGAGGTGACTTCAGTGTCTTGTTTTCTGTTTCAGGTTTGGCTTCTTTTTTAACCAGTCAAAACACGTGGTTCACAAGATTGACCTGGAAACTGTGACCCACATCAAGACCATCAATCTCAAAGCCTTCAGTTGCATGCCTCAGGCCATGGCATACACACACCTGGGTGGCTACTACTTTGTGCAGTGCAGGAGGAACCACTCAGCTGCCACGTCACTGCAGCTCATCATCGACAGTGTCAGTGATGCTGTCATCGGCCCCAACGGCGACGTGTCGGGCACGCCACATGTGTCACCTGACGGGCGGTATCTGATCAGTGCAGACAGAGGCAGTGGCAGGATCAGAGTCCAGACTCTAACTGTCCGAGGGGAAATCAAGTCGATATATGACTTAAAAACAAGCATACACATATCTGATCTGACATTTCAACCCTCTTTCACTGAAGGCAATCAGTACTATATATATGCTACTTCACATTTGCAAACAGATGTGCTTTTCGTAGAGCTGTCAACAGGGAGAATGAATGTACTGAAGAATTTAAAGGACCCTATCACATCAAAAGACTGGCCCTGGAGCAGCTACAACAGAATTATGAAAGACAGTGGATTATTTGGACAATATCTCATTACACCAGCTAAAGATTCCTTATTTGTTATAAATGGGAGGCAAAATACATTACGCTGTGAGGTTTCAGGTATAAGGAGGGGTAACACAGCGGTCTGGGTTGGGGAGGTATGAAAGGGCAGCAGCAGTGGAGCCTTCAGCAGGCAAGGACCAGTTGGACCTTTACACCGCAGGAAATGAGAAGTAGCAATGTATATTTTTACACTGGGAAAACAAAAAGAAAAAGACAAAAAAATGCTGTATAGGCTTCATGGTACAACTGGTCTGCTTGCAGGTTTTATAATACAAGGTATGCTCTGCTAATAGAAAGTGGTTTTGAAGGTATATTTTTATTTATGGGTATGATTTGTGGTTATGAGAAAAATGTTGGGAAGCAAATAATACCTCCACTGAGATATTATACAAGCCACGAAACCTAATAATTCTGTAGAACAAAACAGATTTTGACTTTCCATACTGAGGAGCTTTTATGTTATGTCCAAGCATCAATTTTCTTCCCTGCATCCCTTGCCTGTTGGTTGTACTGACTACCCCACCCCAGCACAGGGAGATGGCAGCAGTGAGGACTATTCACCTTTGAATATTCATTCCCCTTTGGATGATGAGACAAAGTAAATATCAGTTTACTGAGCAGTTTTCAACCCAGAGAAATCTCGGAGAGTGATTTAATGAAAACTGATCAGCTTTCTCTGCAGGATGGCTTTGAGAGGATTCGCTTATGTGATTTCAGACGGAGGCATCACAGAAATTGTAACTGTCAGCTCCCTTGCTTCTGCACTTCATTTTGCTCTTGGTCCTACTGAAGGCAATGGGATGAATCCCCCCTCTTCCAGTGCATATTCTGTGATTGTTTTTGAGAAATTTGCCGTGAAATATCCAGGCCATTACCCGTAGGGGCCTGGGAAAAAGCCAAAAAATACTGACAGGGGAGGTCAGAGTATATGTAAACAATTTTGTTGAGAAGGCAGCATTAATCTTTCAACAGCTCATGAGTGTGGTCAGTTTGGGAACAATATGTAAAATCTACTCTTTGCAGGCAGAGAATGTTATGGCTATTCCGATAGGAGACAACAATACTTCTAGAAATCATTGGTTTCTCTCATTAAATATTTAGGAGCACTGGAATTGCTTAGTTCTTCATAAAATAACAGTTACAATAACAGAGGTTATTTTTAATAGAAAACTCACTAATTTTCTAGTCATAGCCTTAACTTGTCTATTTATTTTCAGAACAACCAGGAAACTATTTTTCTTTAGGTTTTTCTCTTTCTGTTTATAGTACACTTGTTTATAGTCAATTATCTTTTAGTTATGAGCAAAGACATTAATGTAAAAGCAGTGAATTATCCAAGAATAAAACAGCTGGCATTGAGAAATTTCAGTCAAGTTCCCATAAAAATATACAGCCATTTATTTGCACACTTGGAAGATATAAAAAATGTTCTGTTTGTATTTTTCTAACTTTCTATATCCATCACCATGAAGTAATGAGAGGAAAAAGCTGTGGCAGCAGAGCCAGGCAAGAAGTGGTGCCATCCAAGCAGCTGTAATCATCACTTGGAAATGGGATCTTCAAGTGGGTGAAACCTCTCTGCAGGTAAATATCAGTAGCACCCATTTGCCTCTGGAAAGACCCAGTTTGGTTTGTCGAGGACCTTGTTGCCCAGAGCCTGTAGAAAGCTGATCTTGAACACGTGCAGTGATAGGTAGTGGTGTCAGAATTCCTTCCCTCCACAGCTTTAAGTCACCCATTCCACAACACACAGAGAGGGATTTTAAGCAAGAATGATACAGAATAACACTGGCAATCTTTGCTTCAAATGTTTAACTTTATTAGAGGAGCAGCATTTTAGCATGGCTGTAGACCTGAGGTATTTCACACTATTTCAGTTCTATAGAGACTATAAAAAACTGTTCTGACAGACGAAGAAAGGGAGCTGAATCGTATGAATTCGTTAAACATGAAGTCCTTGAAACTGTCCTTCAACATCCATATGCTGAATCCTACATTTCTTTCACTTATGAGCCATAGGGGTTAGAAGAGACTCTTCCATCATTGCAGCACAGACATATGAAACAGATGGGCATAGCCTCCCTTTAGCCATGCATGGTGTCCATGATTTTGTACTCATCCCATTAGGAAAGATATCCCATGTCAAAGAAAGGAGAAGACCAGCTTCGTAAGTACCTTTAAATATGCACAGGTCCTTTCTTGAACAAAGCTGTATCCATACATTGCAGCCATCCTAAATGTATTTTACCAAGGCCAAACACTGCTTTCATGTTACTTTTTATGACTTCTTGAGATTTTATTATGCCTGTGTTAAGTTTTCCCTGTAGAGACATTCATTGTGTCATAGATGAAGCAAATATTACTTTTTAAAGAATACTTAAAAAAACCCAAACAACTGTATATATATGTTCAGGTAAATATTCTTGAGGCTGGTTTATATATAGGCTGTGAAAGATGTGTAACAGATCTCACTTTTTCCTGTTTGTTGCAAAGTATTGGAATAGCATTCCCTTGAAAAAATCTCACTTGGACCTTCCAAAGATGTTCCCTTTGTTCCCTCTCCAGCCCAAGTTCTGGTGATATGATTTTCTAAAGTATCCTAATGGTTATATATCATACTTAGAAAATGAAGTATAATTTAGATTGTCTACACTACTTGTGAACAGTTCCAATGACAGTCAAATCTAACATTAAAGTGCTGCACATTTGTTACTCTTTTTTTTTTTATGACACAGAAATTAAATATATATTCAAAAAATGTTTCAACTCATACTTGCCTTTCAACTCTGTCAAAAAGAGACTACATCTCCTTGTGGGCAATTTCTATCACTATCATTTTGGTTCTCCACCAATCCCCACTTAATTCCTAGTTACTAAATTATTAATTAATCATGGTAATTGATCTAAATTTAATTCATTACCTTTTCATTATCCTACACACTTATATGTCAATAGGATATTCTGACACTAAAATCATGGGAAAAGTAATCCTTGGTTGCCACTAAGATTCTCATGCCAAGATCAGATGCATTTGCCATTTATCACTGAGGTTAAACAGCAGTATGATAGAAATGCTGTTTTGTCTTATTATTTCCCTCAATGTTTTCACTTTCTAAATGGAAGTGCCTGTTGAGAAACCATCCACTTTTAAACTGGAAGCAAAACTCACAATTCCCTTATTTGGAATCTGTGATGGTAAACATGTTCTTATCATTTAATACTTTTTTTAATATCACTAAAAAAAATCAACAAAAGTACCAAAATATTTTCATGGGCTTGTCTGCAGAATGGGTGGGGGATGGGAAATGGCAGGCTGGGTAGGTGTCCCCTGCAAAAGAGACTTCATGAGGGGCTATTGAAAAACACTCTGCCTTGAAGGCCTTGGGCCATTTTGCTACATTGACCTCCATGAACACAGCTTTGCCCAAGAGGAGCACCAATCTTGGTGACCTGTTGACAGGTACTTATTTACTTGATTTATACCATGATTAGGTCTTAATTGCTAGAGTGCTTGGTAGTGGGCTGGATGCTCTGTAAGACTGATAAAACAGGTCAAGATCTCAATTCCATAAGGAGATAATGGCTAATTCCCTGTGTGACCCTACAGCAGGTCAACAAAATTAACAGGAACAGAGGAATAGAGGATGGGGAGACGTGTGCAATAACCTGGTTATTCATAAGAGATGTGGGCATGCCATAATGCCTTTGTATTTTTTTTCCCTAAGACCACCTTTTTCCCTCCCTGTACAAGGCTTTGTGACTGTCTCTCAGGTTACAGGTATAGCTGTCACCCTTCACTGACCCCCTCAGGACCCAAGGATTTCCCAATCTGCCATGTACCCTTATAACTCACTACCTCACTCTCCAGTAATTGCTTTCTTAGAAGACCTGGGGGTAAATCCTTCTTTTCTTAACGGAGTGCATTATGTAAGCAGTAGCACTGGCTTTCTGTATTGGATTCCAATCTGAAACCAGCAGTGATCACCTGATTCACTGCTTTGCACATTTTCTCTTGGGCCAACAAAAAAAAGTCCAAACCAAATAGCCTGAAGCCCCTATAGTATGGTTAACTTATGTGAAACAGTGATCAGTCTTACAATTGGCTCTTCCAGTGCTGCTATTTGCTCACTAGAGCTCATTTCTCCCAGCCTGGCAAGCTCTCCTCCAACCTACAGAAGTGCCTCGCCTCTGCCAGTCATGGGCTACCACAACAGGTAGCTGCTGTTTCTAGAGTTAATCATCAGAGAATGGTTTGAGTTGGAGGAGACTTTAGGCTCATCTCATTCCAAGCCCTGCCATGGGCAGGGACACCTTCCACTAGAACAGGTTGCTCCAAGCCCCATCCAATCTGGCCTTGAACACTGTCAGGGATGCAACATCCACAATCCATGTTTCACACTTCCTTTGCCCTTTGTGCACCTGTGTACAAGGCGCTTGAGACATGATGTGGGCACACCTGCTGCCCATCACTGTGGTGTGCCACTCACTTGGCTGCTGCCAACTTCCCCAACCACTTCTGAAGAAAGGGATTTTTATTTATAATCTTCTTAACTTTTTGAAGTAGACTGAAATAAAACAGAGGGACATCTCTCCATCTGGAGACCAGAAAGACTCATGTGTTTCTTTTATACACGAGATGGTGTGATGGTGTGTGGTGTTGAAGACCAGACAAATTCTCAGCCAAGCAATGCAAGCCCAGGAATGGACTGCTCCTCTCTGCTAGTGGAGGAAAAACACACCTGAAATGTCACTCTTTTTTAACCTGCCTCCAACAATAGGGTTGGAGGTTTGTCTGGTTGGTTTATTAACACTTGTTTCTTAAAGAATAAAGTAGCAAGGCTATAAAGATTTTTTTTTTAATAAGCCTGGAAAGAAAGATCAGTGACAGGTAGACAGGAATCTTACATCTGCTCATGTCTGCTAGAAATCAGGATGCCCCAAAAATGCAAAGGTGCTGACCTGAGGGTCATGCATGAGTGATGGGAGCTGAGCTGAGCCTGGGCTGGGGCCATCTGATGAAGGGGCTGCAAATACAGACCTGACATTATTTTTTTATCCCATGCAATGTGAGCTGGCTGTCCAGCTCAGCTTAATGCATTGGCCAAAATACCCTCAATTCTGGCTGCCCAGAACAGCGCAGAGAGATTTACAGCCTGTACAAGCAGAGCAGGATGGTTTTGGAGGGACCAGTGCTACTTGCTAAGTTCTTGGCCCAATCTACTCTCTGCACCAGCTGAATTAATGCCCATTACTCAGTACCGTGACAGCAAAAAGTCATCACTATGCAGCCCAGAGGGAAGATGTAGCAGTGCCTTCACACTGCTGTTAATAACCTTCAGCACTTTGGCACAGGATGCTCATGTGACTTACAGTCCTCGCAGATGTCACTGGCTACTAAAGAAGCTCTCTACCTTTGGGGTTTTTACCCTTGTGATTTTATTTATCCCTTATTCCTGAAAATCATGAAAAAAGGTGGAAACTCGTCTTAATGGCAAAAAAGGTTCTTGCATGTCTTGTGGGTCATATTTTCCAAGTGTTTGTAGCTGAAAACAAAATGCATGAAAAAAAAAGTTTCCTGTTCACAATGCTAACTTCAGAAGAAAACAAAAATAAAGAAAAATAAGAAGAGTCCTGGTGTGGTGCTCCTACCAAGCAAATTGCCACATCCCAGAGACTTGTTTAATTAAGCACTTCAGCACTAACCCTCAGCAGTCTATGGTGTCTTTGACATTTGTCCAAAGCCATCAGATGAAGGCACTGAGCACAGTGAGGGCAGACAGCCAGCTGTGCCTCGTTAACACAAGCACTAAATCAAACAAACAACATCCCAATTTCCAAAGGTCAGACCACTGGCATTTCCAGAAGTGTAGCTCCAGTTCCTAGGTTAGCACAGGTTTCTCCTACTGTTGCACACAGGTATTGCCAGGAATGGCCTGATGGCCACATCACTCCTGTGCCATTGGATACCCAGCCTAGGAACTGCATGCTCTTCAGCTACACTTAAAAGAGAGTGTAAACACAGCTGGTACTGCAACAACCTGTAGTCACAGCAGAGTAGGGTGTGGAGTTACCCAGAGAGAAGTTTACTGC